AGTCCATGGCGCAGGTCGCAGCCAACGGCGACCGGTCGCTCAGCATCACGGGCAACCCCAAAGACAACGTCAAGACAGCGTACACGTTGTGGGACGCCGACGCGGGCTTCCAGTGCGTGTGCGACCCGGGGTTTGAAGGACCGGACTGCAGCAAGCGCAGCTGCAAGGTGGGCGTGGACCCGTTGTATGAAGCCGCGGGCTACCCGATCTACGAGACCTTCAACATCATTGCGATGGCCACGCTGGCAGCAGCTGATCCCGATACGCTCGACGCGACCAAGTCGTGGATCCAGCTGCGCGTGTTCGACCATGAGGGCGAGTCGTACTTAACGCCTCGGATTCCGGTCTCGAGTGACACGGCGAACGTGGGTGGAACCACATTCACGAAAGCGTTCCAGGCGTTGCCCAACAAGGTCATTAGTAGCATCTCGTGCACCTCGAAGGTCGTCGATGTGGCCCCGACCGACATCACTGCCGAAGACGGTTTCTACGTGACGTGCCAATACACCGATAACCCGGGCCCGCATCGCTTGCCCGAGGTTGTCGCGTCGGCGTTTGTGGACAATAGCGGTGTCACCCGTACTACGTTCCGCACTTATGTGACAGCTGACATTCGCCGCGGCGAAGCCATCGACTTTTGCGCGACGGCTTCTGCCGCCTACTATGCCTCTGGGGCGGACTTGACGACGATTGTGGTCACGGGCACCACGGCCGCTATCCCAAACGCACAGACTCTTATCAAAATCAAGGACCAGCTCTTGATTGCGCTCGCCGTGCCGACGACTACGACGCTGACGACCGCGTGGGCACTGCCGACAGCGACGGCATCGGCGATCTCGGCCGGAGCGACGGTGTATTACGCGTCGGGCGTCACGGTCGCCGCCGACGCGTGCCAGATCAGCTCCTGGACCGTCGGCTCCGACTCGTTCTCGTGCGATGATCCCACTGCGATTCCCACTGTCGTTGTCGGGAGCAAGATCATGTTCGAAAACGCCATCTACTACGTCCGGTCCATCACGCCAAAGATAGCGGCGGTGGCAGCGGTGGCTGCCGGTGTAGCCCCGGCGTACAGAGAAGCCGCGCCAGCGATAGTGGCCGCACCGGCAGTTATTACGGTCGACCGCAAGTTTGGTGGCAGGTCCTCAATCGGGGGGGATGTGTCTGCCTTGGATTCGTTTTACATCCTCACGACACCGACGGTGCCGGCGCCGGGCACGTACACGTACGTCTCGCAGTGCTCGGGCCGCGGTCTCTGCGACTTTGCCACCGGCCTTTGCCAGTGCTTCAAGGGCTACACCAACGACAACTGCGACACGCAAAACATCCTCGCGTTCTAAGCCGAATCCTGGGCGAAAATACAGTGTATACCGTGTACAGAACGAAAATCTTCCACGAAAGATGAGATCGGCGACATGACGCCGAGGTACGTGTCGGATATACCTCGGCTCCACTTTGGCTCCGCTCGGACCATGGACTGGCACCGCGTGATAGCGACGATGCTGGCTCGGTAGGCGCCCATGAGCAGTATCAGCTTGTCGACGCGCACGCTTCCGTCTCAGACTGACGCAAGAGACTACAACGAACAGGTGCGATCTTTTCAAGCGACGCGTACCATACCATCGAACGTCGATGACCTTGCCCATGAAGCTACTACTGCTCGTCGCGGCCATGGCCTCGATGGCGTCGGCCGAGTGCCCCGGCGGCTGCTCCGGCAACGGCGTCTGCGGCCCGCGCGACATGTGCACGTGCTTCAAGAACTTTATGGGCAACGACTGCGCGCAGCGCATCTGCCCGTTTGGCTTCGCCCACGTCGACACGCCCAAAGGCGACATCAACATGGACCGCGTCATGAATTCGCCTGGCACGATCCTCTTGAACTCGCAAATGTACCCTGGCGGCACGTACGAGTGGACCAAGGCCACGGCCGCCATCGACGAAGCCCACTTTTACATGGAGTGCTCCAACGAAGGCATTTGCGACCGCGTGACCGGCCTCTGCATCTGCTACCCAGGCTACGAGGGCTCGGCGTGCCAGCGCGCCAAGTGTCCCAACGCCTGCAACAACCGCGGCGTGTGCAAGTCCATGGCGCAGGTCGCAGCCAACGGCGACCGGTCGCTCAGCATCACGGGCAACCCCAAAGACAACGTCAAGACAGCGTACACGTTGTGGGACGCCGACGCGGGCTTCCAGTGCGTGTGCGACCCGGGGTTTGAAGGACCGGACTGCAGCAAGCGCAGCTGCAAGGTGGGTGTGGACCCGTTGTATGAAGCCGCGGGCTACCCGATCTACGAGACCTTCAACATCATTGCGATGGCCACGCTGGCAGCAGCTGATCCCGATGCGCTCGACGCGACCAAGTCGTGGATCCAGCTGCGCGTGTTCGACCATGAGGGCGAGTCGTACTTGACACGTCGGATCTTGATCAAAGACGGTTCGGTGGTCGCCAACGACGCCGGTCCTGTCTTCAGCGCGGTGTTCCACGCACTGCCCAACAAGGTCTTTTCTAGCATTGCGTGCCACCGCGCCAACGAACCTGGCTATCAAAATGTGATTCCCGCACTCACATTGGGTGGCATCCACGAGCTCGGTAACTTTGTCGCGTGCCAGTACACCACCAACCCAGGCCCGGTGCGGCTGCCCGAGGTCGTCGCAACGCAGTGTTTGCAGACGACCCCCCGCCATCTTGACCACGGGGGTTCGTGACCGCCAACACCCGCCGTGGCGAAGCCATCGACTATTGCGCGACGGCGTCTGGCGCCTACTACGTGAGCGGAGGCGGTGCGGCCTTGACGGTCTCGGGCTCGACCGCCGCGTTCACGGCCTTGCCAGCCCTCG